AGACAAGTATTACATTTAGAGAATTGTGTAATGGGTACATTTGCAACCAGAGCAAAATAGCTTTGCTTTGAGCCACTCTTTTGAATGCCACTTTGTGTAAAATATTTCTATTTGGAGAATTGATTTTTGAGGACCTTTGTAATGGCTCATCCATTTTGCCAAATTTCCATTTTGGGCTCAGAAAGGTAGGTTGGTAATCATCATCAACAGGTAAAGTGCCCTCCTGATGCATGGTACTGTACAGAATACTTGAAAATAACATTCAGAGGAAGATTCCAAAATGGAATTCCTTCTGTACTGAGTTTGAGCTAAGGCATTGGTTCTCAAATTTATGAGGAGTCAGAGTACCAGGAAGTCAGATGCTTTTGAAAAATTAATTTTATCAGGTAGACTATGCTGTAGCTCTAAATTCAAGTCATTAGCTTGAAAATGTTTATCTTAATTTATGTGCCATCCTTATGTCAGGATTGTGTTTAACTACATGTTTGAGTGACCTGAACAATAGTGGCTTAAAAAGAGCTTTATTTATTTATGTGTTTATTTCCTACAACAGTAGATCTGGAGGGATGTAATCCAGGGTAGGTGTGGTGATTCCAAAATTCTGCTTTCTTTCTATGCTCTTGCTCCTGTCTTTCTGGTCTGCCATCTTTAGCTTGTAGCTTTTATCTTCATGCATGTAAGAAGGCTGCTACAACCTCAGGCAAGAGGTTCGTTCTCCAGGCAGGACAAAGAATGGAAGAATGGAGGAGGAAGGGACAGTGCTTATATATGAACTCTAGTACAGAGCAAGGGAATGTGAGAAATACATATTATTTAACTGGATACTTTGTTTCCCTGAACAAAATTGGGGCTCCTTTACTAAGAAGTGGAGAATAGATCTGAAGTAGGCAATTAACAGTGATTGCCACAATTACAAAACAATTTAAAATGAACATTCATGAGCTTATTACATTCATGATCTTGTGTTGTCATCAAACACTGCTGGAATTTTTCTTATTAATATTTCTTTATTTATTGAACATTAGTATTGTTGATAGCTAACAAGGAAGTAATCTCAGATATTGAAAGTTCAAGAAATAGAGGTGGAAAAAACTCTTAAAGTGAGGAGATTTTTTTCCATTGAGTTTTTTCCCTTGCAAATGAGAAAATGAAATTCACATCTGATTTTAATGAAAGTACATTCTAGTCTAGGACATCAATGTTCCTAAGGAACGTGTTTTGGGAACCACTGATCTTAATAGTTATGTGTACTATCAAATTGCTTGTATCTTTACTTTCACTTACACTATTTTCCCAGATAAGATTGTCTTTTTTCCCCTTTTTTCGTATTAGTCACATGTGGGCAATTAAAACATTTTAAAGTGTCATTTCTAAATTGTATATGATGATCCTATATTAGTTTTATAGTAAGAAAAAAAATTTATTAATTTTCCAAGGTCAGTGTAAGTCCTGCTATCTTTGACATTGTACCCTGTGTTTCAAATCCATTTTTATTTCCTCCTTGAAACTCCTAGAGCAATCATAGCCCATGCAATGCAATTTTCTCCTTCATTAGACCATATTGAATTCATCACTAATTGTTTGATATGTTAGCAATATCATAAGCTCCCTGTTACGTATTTTTTTGTGTTCCAAATTCTTAGCATTGCATTAATACTACATAGTGATGTTTAATTGCTTCCTGATCAAAATCACATTTAACCCATTAACATGTATAAAAAAGCTTGAATTTGATAGCAAGATAGGCATAAAATAAAACATGGCTAATAATGAGTGTAATCAGAATTTCATGACTTTTACCCTTACCTATTAATGTAGGACCTCTACCTTCCCCAGAATGCTCCCACCAAGTTTATTTTTGGAGTCGCTAAAGGGCATATCAGGTGGGCTCGCTAACGTATCTGGCCACTGCCACATGGCCTATCTTTTCCTCTCTGTCATGTTTGCTGCCCTGCAGTTGGATACTGGTACCTCCCCCTGGATGTCAGAGGTGTACTTGTGTGCCTGACACTTCCAACCCCTCTGCTTGTCCCACCAGGTGTGCTGCTGATATGCTGGGGGCTGTTGAGGTTCCAGCCTCTTTTTCTCCCTTGCTGTTACACCTTATCATATGGGCATCAGAACAGAGCTCTTTGTATCTTGTTGCCTCAGAGCTTTTGCTGAGACCCCTTCTTTAGTTTCTCATTTTAACCTTTCTGTCCCTGTTTTGATTAGCTCTTGTGGCTGGACTGGGGGAGCAGCAGTGCAAGTGATAGACACCACCCTGTGTTTAGGACTATTCCTCTGGTCCAAGCTTTGTTTACTAGGCTAAGCTTTTCTGTCTCTCTTTATAGTAAGGATGTTTATTTCCCCCAAATGTTCCTTCGTCCCTCATGCAAACAGATACCTGAACAATGCTCAGTCTCCAGACGTGTGAATCTTAGTGTCAGGGATGGTTTAGGTTCTAGATTGCAATCCCATTGTACTTTTGGAATACTACAGGTAAAATATATTGCAACTCAAAGAATCTCAAGCCCAGGTAACAAGTCAGAGCAACTCAGAGCATGATCTTGACCCCCAGACAAAGCAGTAACTTTACTTATTCTTGCTTTAATTGATTATATTAGAACCCAGTGTGAACTTTAAGGCTACAAAGAAAAGAGAGAAAAGAAATGGGCTTTATTTTATTTCTCAGTTTGTGCAATTGTTTTTATTTCTATGGTCCCTAAAATTGATTAAACTGTAGTTGAGTGGAGATATCGTGCATTCTTACCCTTTTTCCAGAGCAGTTCTTCATTCAATTATCTCTCTTGGTTTCCAAGATATACATTAGACAGTAATTGGAACTGTATCTCAGGCAAGTTCCCCATAGGAATGTAGGCAGATTGAAAAATAGCAAACTCCACAATTAGCATTGAGGCTCGAGGTAATACAAGTAGTCAAGGAGAAAAGGGATGAATGAGCAAAAATTGGGAGATGATGAGAACCAAGAACATAAAACTTCTATAGCCAAGGTGAAAAGAATCAGAAAATGGTCATCTGTGCCTGCAAGTGTTTGTGAAACAGTGAGAACAATAGAGCAGCTGTATTAGTTTCTGTTGTTTAAAGTTTCTTCATGTCTTTATTATTTTTTTAAACACATATTCTTAAACTTTAGAGTAATCCAATTCTGTCCATCTGAGATGCATTTAAGGAAACGAAAAAAAAAATTGTAACCTATAGTTACATAGATGTATACTTACTCTAGTTCAGGGCTTCTTTCAGAGTGGGAACTCAAATTAAGTACTGTTGACTGTAAAATCCTTAGACATTTAGGTACTTGGCTGCTAGCTCCATGGAGGGTCTGCTAGGAATAGGGGAATCAAGACACCATTGCACAGCAGTGAAAACAAATGGAGCTAAGAGAAACAAGGAAACGTCACCAGGACAGATGTTTACTAGATATAGGACCTCGTTGACTCAGGCTGCTGAGTCCTGCTTTGAAATCTAGAAATAGAAAACAACCAGGGATGGGAGATTGCTGGAGAAATGCTCTCTGAAATCTGTTTGCCAAGACCTCATCATGATCTAGAGCTGCCAGGAGACATTGTGCTCTTCCCAGAGTCCTCAGCTATTGAGTGACAGACTCAGAAGCAAACCTAGACCTCTCTGCTCTCAAATTCATGTGTTCATCCTGCAGTGAGATGGATTTTTTTTTTTGAGAGGGCATCTCTCATATTTATTGATCATATGGTTGTTAACAACAATAAAATTCTGTATAGGGGACTCAGTGCACAATCATTAACCAACCCCATGCCTAATTAACAGTCTCCAATCTTCTGTAGCATAACGAACAAGTTTTTACATGGTGAACAAGTTCTTACATAGTGAATAAGTTCTTACATGGTGAACAGTACAAGGGCAGTCATCACAGAAACTTTCGGTTTTGATCACGCATCATGAACTATAAACAATCAGGTCAATTATGATTATTCGTTTGATTTTTATACTTGACTTATATGTGAATCCCACATTTCTCCCTTATTATTATTATTATTATTATTATTATTTTTAATAAAATGCTGAAGTGGTAGGTAGATGCAAAAATAAAGGTAGAAAACATAGTTTATTGCTGTAAGAGGGCAAATGTAGATGATTAGATGTGTGCCTATAGACTAAGTATTAATCTAAGCTAGACAAGGGCAACAAAACAGAGATGGATTTTTTTACACAATCAATTTGTTTATTGTACAGTTGTATAAGTGCATTTGTTATATCTCTCATTCCCAATAGGGAGGAAAAGGATGTGACTGTGTAGTGGTTTTTCACCCAATTCCACAGGATTGGCAGTTTAGCACTAAATTTGGAGCAAATGTATTAGGTTTTCTAGAAAGCTTGTTTTAATATTTCTAGAGTAAGACTGACTGACAGTCTTGGAGCAGGAGGAAAATGACCACAGTATGCTAGTATTGTTGATTGGCTCTGCTCCCTGTAGTAGAGTAAAATTAACCAATCATTAAAAAATTTTAAGAGTAAGAATCTCTTTAATTCTGTGTATGTAGATCTGTGGTGTGAAATTAAAGTTTGTTTTATATTTCTTTTGTAATAACTTATTTGTCTAGAATAAATAATGGTCACCTGATTTTTGTTCTGGGTACCCAAAGAATTGAGATTCCTTTTAGTTATTCTTGCTCATTATCCTTAAAAGTAAATCAATAGAAAAATGATCTAAGATATCAGGACAATAGTAAGAAGACTATGTTAAGCTCTTGGGAGACTAAATAGAAAAAGTCTGTAGATTTACCTTTGGGAATTATGTGAAATCCTGAAATTTTGTGTTTTATTTTATTGTTATGCAAGATTCTCCTTGGGGAATTCCTGAACATTTTGTGACCTAAAGAACTTGCTTTTTGTGTGTTGTCTTATTATACTTGTGAATGAGGTGATCAACACATTTTAGGGTTTTTTTCTTTTATTTATATATGTACACTTGGATACAAAAAGATATGTATATGTGTGTAACAGTTTTTCCTCTTTTGCAGAATTAAATGTGAGGGAGTCTGATGTAAGAGTTTGTGATGAATCATCATGTAAATATGGAGGAGTCTGTAAAGAAGATGGAGATGGTTTGAAATGTGCATGTCAGTTTCAGGTGAGGAGACCAAACCTGTTTCGAAGAATTTTTACATTTTTCTATTTTACAATAATACATCCTTCAAATTAAAAAGCTTAAATCACCTTGAACCCCACAAGGAAGTTGGGTTCACAGTTTTTGTCACATGAAGTGTGATTATTATTTTTCCTTAAATTAAGAGGACAAACTGGCAATAATGTGAAAATGCTTTGAAAAACATGTTCAAGTTTTATTCAAATATAAGATCTAATGTCGCTGAAAGGAAATAGGTACAGGTTGCTGTAGAAAGTTTCTCTTTCTAGTCTCTTTCTCTTCCATTCATATTTGTTGCTGTGTCATCTTTTTGAGCCAAAACTTGGTGCTTCAAGATAGGTCACAGTTAGAGGTAAACTAGAAAGGGGAACCTCAAACTAAGGTCTTTGCCTTCAGAGGCTGTGTAGTTGTGATTCTGTTGTCTAAAAAAAGTAAAAAGAAGGGAAGTGAAATATGTTACATTCAGTTCTTCCTTTTTGTTTATTTACTGTGATTAAATTATAAGTGTCTTCAGAATGCTCACAAATGGTTCTTGATTCAGGGTTTGAGGTGAGACAAAGAAGGAACTAGAGGTTTTTTTTTCATTCATGATCTTGTTTCACTCATGATCACACCCATTGTTTTGGATTTTAAAGGGAGGAAAGGGTATAGAGATAAGGGATAAAAGCATTCGAGAGTCAGTATTTCCAGCAACCCTGGCCTGATCTCAGGCAAGTTTAATGATCATTTGAAAAAAGAAAAGACCTGTTTCCTACCTTTTCTTGTGTTGTAATGAGAATTAAAATCAGAAAGAGAGGTTGCATATGAAACCTCTTTAAAACTATGAACAATTATGTTTATTTTTCAACTGGAAAGTTCTAATAAAGGAGGAATGGTAGAGGAAACTCTTGTCCAGCTGAAGAGGTTCTTTATGGTCAAAAGGGATTTTACAATCCACTGTTCACAGTTGCTACTTGTGAAATGGCTTAGTTAACCTTGTGCCCACCCCTACATAGTTACTTATGCATCGGTCTGGCCAATATGTTGTGTTTGGCTGCTCTGCCCACTCCTCAAACCATCTTATAAAGTACAGCAACTAAAGTGGGCTTTTCCCCTTAAAACAAGGTGTTGGTGTACAGGGTGAAACCAAGCTCTCATGAACTTTTACTTCTTTCTGTTCTTCACATTGGATAATTTTTACTGATCTTATTTCAGGTTCACTGATCCTTTCTTCTGTCATTTTCGTTCTGCCTGCCCAGTGAGTTTTTAATTTCAGATATTTAATTTCTAGAATTCAGTTTTTATGTGTCTGCTGAGATTTCCTGTCTTTTCATTCATTGCAGTCATATTTTCCTTTGAGCATAGATATTGCTGCTTTAAAATCTTTGCTAATTTCAACATTTGGGACATCTCAAGGATCCTCTCTGTTGAGTGTCTTTTTATTTAACAATGATTGTGTTTTCTTGTTTCTTTGTATTAATTTTGAACTTATCCAACATATTGTGAGTGATATTTTAGAGCATTTGAATTCTGAGATGTTCCTCTGAAGAGTATTATCATTTTTGAAACAAATTGGGTGAATTCAAACTGCTAACTCTGTTTTCCCCTGTGGGTAGCAACACATATATCAGTTCATTTCTTTTAGCCTTAGCTGGGCTACTTAGAGACTGCCCCGTGGGTGGTTCAGGAGTCAGCAGAAATTTGGTCTGAGTTTATATACAGAATCTGGGACTCCCCTCTTACCTACTCCTGGGGTTTCTCTCTTTCCAGTGGCTCTTTTCCTGGAGCCTCTCTCCTTCGGTTCTTTAAGCCAAGGAAGTTTGCAGGTTTTTTATTGGTGGTTAGCCACCCTGTATGAGGAAGCTGGGGCTGTCCCTCTTCTAACTGTCTTATATTTCCTTAGATTAAATTCCCTGATGTGGAAATTTTGGGCCAATGGAATTATTCTGTATAGATAACTTTCTCTCCAATAACAGTGTATCTGACTGCTTGTATCCCCTCATCCTCTTGGTAGTGGATTTGGTCAGTCCTTTTAAATTTTATAAATCTGAAAGGCAAAAAAAATTACTGTTTTTCATTTGATTACTGGAGAAATTGATAATGTGCTATATACTTATTGATCTTTTTTTGGCAAGTTAGTATTTCATATGTTTTTGCCCATTTTGGGAAGTATTTTCTTTTTCCCTTGTGTTGATTTGTAAAGACACATGTGTATATGTGTATGTGTATACACTATGTATACTACACTGAGTACTTATATATTGCTTACTGTGCTGAGCATTTCATGTCCATTAGTGGCTCTTAATATTTTATATATGTGTGTATTTCTACATAAATAGATAAATATAAAATATATAAAAGTTTATATAACTCTTAAACTCTCATGGGAACCTATGATGTAGGTACTTTTTGATATACTTTTTAAAAGAGTTATATATGCCCATAGTAAACAACCTGAACAATGTATAAGAAGATACATAATTAAAAAATGTCATCCTTCCACTCTAGACTATGAGTTGTCCTTCTCAGAGACATTAATTCTTGTATTTCCTTCTAGAAATATTGTTATACAAACACAAAGGTGTTTTTAATTTCTCTTTGAAATAGTAAATTCCTTAAGAAAAGTTTTAAATATTCATTTTATATTTTTGTTTTTATGATTATGCTTTTTGTTAATTGAAAATCTTTCCGTGCAACTCTAAGATGTTAATGAAATAGCCCTTTTGACCTTTTAAACATACTTGAACAGCTAGAAAATTTGTCATGATCGGTCTGAATTCCTTTTATACCTCGTGGCAAAGCAGGAAAGGGAAGTAAAAGTTAGGGGTTGAGATCAGTAGGCATTTTATCCAGTGCTTGCTTTGTGCAAGGTGCTGGACAGGATCCTGAGGATATATGCCGAGGATATAAAGATGTTTAAAGATAAGTTGCTTGCCTTGTAGGAGCAAACTGCCTGAGGGCTTACAGCATGATTTGATCCTGGCTGCTGACTGAACCTTCCTGTGACTTCTCCTCCTTTTAAGCTTATAAATCTGTTCAAGTTAGACTTAGGTTCTTGCCAGTTGAAGAACAGTTACCTCATATGCCCACTAAACACTCCTGTTGGATATTTTAGCAGTATCTTTCAATTCATTAAAAAAACTTGCTTATGATTCAGCATGCTTTCAGTGTTAATATGAGCTCTGGGATATAATTTAAGCACATTTAACAGATAATAATAGGATTTTAAATAAAGTCTAAAATTGTTTATTTTCAGTCTGCTATTAAGAGCTATTATAATGACACATTTTGTAAACAAAGTTACTTTTATTAATTTTCTACAAAGAAAAATGATCAGTATTTCATCTTTCCATTAAGACTAGGGTAATATACAAAGAGGGCTACCTGACGTTTCTACAATCTTCTTTCTTTTCTTTGTTCTTCTCTCTGGAATTCTCTGGACTGTGTCTACTTCCTGAATTTATTAGTGTCTGTTCTTGCTAGGTGTCATGCCTTTTTATTAGACCTTTGTATTTGGGTTCTTCAAAGAAATGGAATAGAATATATTGATTGAAAGAGAAGAGAGAGGGGAGAGATTTACTGTAAGGAATTGGTTCACCTGATTATGGAGGTTGAGAAGTCCCAAGATCTGTTGTCTGCAAGCTGGAGGCCCAGGGAAGCGGGCAGTGTAGGTCCAGTCCAAGCCCAAAGTCCTGAGAATTCAGGGAGCTGATGATGCTAAGTCCTGGTCTGAGTCCAAAGGCTGAAGAACCAGAAATCCAATGTCTCAGTTCACCAGTCAGGTAGAGACTTCAAATTCTCCCTTCCTCTACCTTTTTGTTCCTTCAGGCCCTTAGTGGCTTGGATGATAGACCCCGAGTGGAGAGGGCATTTACTCAGTCCACTGATTCAAATGCTAATCTCATTGGGAGGCACCCTCACAAACACATCCAGAAATAATGTTTGATCTGGGCACCCTGGGCATTAAAATTAACCATTACAACCTTGTGATTATTTTCTTATTTATTGTGTTCAGCACAGTCTGACACACAGTAGGTACACAGTAAATGCTTGGATGGATGTGGCTCCCGAGTTGTACACCACTGCACCTTTCTAAATGATTTCAAGTCATATTCTTCCAGCTACAGGGAAGGTGTAGGGGAGAGTTCTTTCACTGAGCAGGTACAGCAGTCAGAGGAGGTGAACCTTAGGTCCAAGTCAGTGCCTAAGTCAGAATTTGCATGGTGTTAAAATTGCCTAAATCCCTTAGTTTGTCCATAGCGTAATGAGTGGCTCCTACGAGAGACCCCTGGCTACAGACTGACCAAGGGGCAGCATGTCTACCCCCATCTCATGCTCCCTCCTAGGTATGTGCTTCTTAGAGTGAATTCAAGGATATTGCCTGCATGATGTTAATTAAGGCCCTGCTCACTACCACCAGGTAACATATAGCGAGATCTTGCTGAATACCTTGAGTGTGTAATGGGTAGAGTACATCAGTTGTGAGGAATCCTAGGTCTTCGACTTACTAGCTCTTACCTTAACTTACTAGCTTAACTACCAAACGTTCAGAAATGATAATAGCAATAGCAAAACTAGCTAATGTTTATTGAGAATTTACCATGACCAGATATAAATACTAAAGATGGATTTCTCTTATTTAATCCTCATAACAACTTCATTAGGTAGATGCTATTATAATTACCATTTTACATATGGGGAAAATGGTGCTAGTTCTAGTCCATAGTCACATGGATGGTGGACCCAGAGATCATGTATTTCTTTGTGTTTCCTGTGACATTTACCTTGAAATGTGTACTAGAGGTATTGAAAAAAATGAATTTGATAATAATAAAATGACATTACATAATGCTCATTACAAACATTGCCAAGAATTCCCTCTTAAATTATCTCATTGGACCTTTTATAGCAAGCAGATGAAGTAGATAGCATAGTTGATAGTTTTTTTCATTTTTATGATAGTTGATAGTTATTTTCATTATAAATGTGAAAAAGATGTAAGAAAGTAGCGTAACTTTTTTTTTTAACCAAATGAAAGAATGAATATTCTGTAGTGTAAGTTATGTCATAATACTGTGGGATTGCATTCATGAATATAAAAGTAAACTACTAATATTCATGCCTAGTTCTGAGATTTATTTATTTTTTCTTTCACAGTGCCATACAAATTACATTCCCGTCTGTGGATCAAATGGGGACACTTATCAAAATGAGTGTTTTCTCAGAAGGGCTGCTTGTAAGCACCAGAAAGAGATAACAGTAGTAGCAAGAGGACCATGCTACTCCGGTATGTGTGATATTCCTGTAAATAAATGTTAAAATGGTTTCGCCGTATTTTCTAAAAGGCAGAGGTGTATTCCCAAAACTGTTGTATGGATTGGTGGTGATTGTGTGTGGAATGGGGGCTGTTTTTCCTCCCTGCTTTCATGTTCTTGCTTTTTAACCCCAGTTGGTCTTGTTCTGACTATGTTGCTTCTTAGTACACTGTTAATGTTTAATGTCTCTATTTGTGGGGGCTTTGAATATCTTTTGTCTATGTTTTGAATATTAGAATAAGATTTGAAATGGGAAATGTTATATCCATTTTGAATATTAGAATAAGATTTTAAAGTAGGAAATTATGTATCCATTTTGTTGATTTTTATTTTTGGGGGAAGGGGAAGGATAGGAAATATCCATGAAAAGCCATTAGTGTCATCTCAGGATGTGTCTCTTTCCAAATTTGTCTCTTTTTATATCTTCCCTTTTCTGTCTGCCAATCTTTGTCACTCACCTCCCCCTGGTTGTTTGTATTTACTCTCCCTTTTCCTCCCTGAATTGGTAGTGGTTAATTTTGGGAAGCATTACTGTTAGTTTCTTACTTGCCTTTGTATTTGGGATCCAGGATACAGGCTGAAGTATTGTAATTAGAATTACTGTATGAAAGTTAGCACTAAGGGTGGAGACTGTTCTTATATGATGTACTCCGTTTCCTTCCTTTCCCATGTAATACAGTACCTGTGTTCAGAGGTTTTGCTAGGGCTCCATTACATAAGCATCATTGATTGATTGTCCCTGTGGTCGATGTTGAACTCCAGGTCCAGGAATACTGCATGACTCAGTGCTGTCACTTCTGAATTGCATGGTTCGTCTTCCTGGTGTAGCGAGCTCCACCCTGAGATCTGAGGTGGTCAGCATCCTCCCTAACCAAGACACTGTTATCAGAGGGACTTTTTTATCAGAAGGTTACCTTCTAGAAACTGAGGGCAAAGGCTAGACCTTTCTTTGGATAAGACTGAATTCTTTTCCGTATGCTAAATAATTAGGTGCTTGGTGAAATTATTATGTTCTTAGGCTAATAGACTATCATTTGGTGTGGTTCTCGTGTACTTACCTAAGTACATTGTGTTTCACAGACTTGATTTAGAAACTTTAAAGGCATATGGAATTCTTTACAATCCCAAATTAATTGCACATCATTTATGAGGAGCATGTGTTTAAGACAGCAACTGCTTTGATAGAAAGTGATTATTAAACATTAGAAGGCAGCACGGTAAATTGGAAAAAGCACCACACTAGGATTAAAAGACCTGACTGTGAAGTAACTGCAGCTCTTATTTACTCTTATGACCTTGGACAAGTCACTTAGCCACTCTGAGCCCCAACTGCCTAAGTTGTTAAATGGATATCATCCCCCAGGGTTATTAAAGGAGAACTGAATGAGCTAAGCTCTGAGGTGCTACACTGGTCTTGTTATTTGCTGGGTGAGCCAGTGTGTTCATATCATCTGGTCTTCTACTGGTGTTATTCCCTGTGCTAGTAATAACATGATCTCTTGCTTACTTGAAACTCTCATGCTTTAATACTGAGTTTAAGCTTTTTCTCCTTAGGGAAATGTTTTCTTGGAGGCATCTCCTGGCCGACTTCATTCACACTTTGTGCCTTTCTCAATGTATATATCGTACTGTATTTCATTTACCTGACACCTCTGTCTCCAGCCAGATCAGTGATTTCTCTACAGGAAGGCAGTATGCCCTGCCTTGGGAGGTGTGTCATAATCCCAGTTGTGTGGGCAGGGAAAGGGGCATATACAGTGAAAATACAATCTTAAAAGGCATATGGAATCTGAAAGAAGAACTCTGTCTCATTAACAGAGTAGTCCTAATATTTAATTTATTTCCGTATATTAAATGGCACTAAGGGGGGAAGGTGTGAAATACTGTATCTATTAAAATTGGACATGGGTTGAAAGAAGGTTGGGAGTTAGTATCTTATATAATGGAACAGTCTTACTTATCCATCTGTTCCTAGAATTTACCATGTTGCCTCAGCACATAAAATGTACTCAGTCAGTGTCTGTGGCATAGACGGGAAAAGGGAGTGTTTTTCTAAGAAAAGTTGGGTACTAAAAACAATTTTATATTGAATTCCCATCTTCCCTGTCTTTTTTTGCTTTTTCACTCACTCAGAGAAGATGTATTTTTGTATAGTTCATTCATCAAAATTGAACACCCAATTTAAGATTTTCTGATAAATGCCATGGAGATTCTACAGTGGGTACTACATAAAATATGTATTTTCTGGACTCTTCCTGTTTCTACTGTGTTTGGGGATTTGATTGTTGTCCAAAAGAGATTGAAGGGAAGGGAGCAGTATTGCTAAGGGTGTGGTTCTCCCTCTGGAGAACTGTTTGAAGAACTGGAGTGGGTTCACTAGGATATCCTCCCCACTAGAAAGTGCTGACAAAGGGTCAGGTTCTTCACTTGCCATCTCTGCTTTTTCACGGCTCCATGCTGACGACACTGTACATTATCTTCTTTTCAACACGCTCTGTGCCGTACTTGGTTCCTTTAGGATTATGAAATAAATATTTTGCATTAATTAGATTTTAGGCTGGCTTCTTGTTGGTAATTTTGAGGGAGGCTCTTAAGTTTCATTAGTAACAAGTGTGCCACCTTTACCTCGGTGAGATTCCTTCCTATAGGACATTCATTTCATCAGTAATATGAAAACCCCAATCCTGAGGTCTTTCCTCCTAAACCTGGGGGCTTTCCTTACCTTGTAGTTTTTGGCCTTTATCCACAGATTTCATTAAGAAGATTTTTAGAGCAAGACTCAAAGCTCTTTTCCCCTCTTTCTAATAAAAGCAGTTTATTCATTATTTCTCTCGAGGTTTAACAAAATTAAAATTTCTTTCTACCTTTAAGTGAGTTAATTAAAATTATTTCTATTTAGTCATTTACTTTATGGTATTTAGTGGTCTGTACTCTGTGGAAGACACCTGGATATTTCCTGAATGGGCTACATAGATGTATGAGGTATAGATTTAATTATTATGTGTCTAAGAGATTTGTGTTTGGGGAAAGGCACAAAGTAGGCATATGAGAACAAATTGTTACATACCAAAAAAAATGAGAAAAGGGCTACCTGAGAACTGATACCACAGCTTGAGTTTTGATAATAAATTTTACTATTTGACAAAACGATATTTCCAGGAAAAGCATTCAGATTCATTCTTTGTTTTTCTTCTCAGATAATGGCTCTGGCTCTGGAGAAGGAGGTAAGATTCAAGTACCCCTTAAATGATACTTGTATTATAGAACATTTTCATTATTCCAGAAACAATCCCTGCATCCTTGGCCATCACCCCTAACCCTTCTGTCCTCCTTAATCCTAGGCACTCTCTGTTTCATGCAATGGATTTTCACTAATTTTGCTGTCAGACAAAGGGGAAATGTCGTAGCCCTTGTTAAATTGAGGTTGCACCAAAGGACCTTCTCTTCAGATTCATGCACATAAGTGGTGTTTGGCTTAGACCAGAGTATTTGTAACTCTCTCCTATCCCTTGCATACAAATTTTTACTCCTAAGGAATTTTCAGGGTATGGGGTATAAAAACTCTGGAGTTGAACATAGCAAAGGAAGGCTTGCAGAACAACTCTGGTGGCATACAGACTTTAAGCTTTTAAAATTTTCCTGTTTATGGCTTTCATTTTATTTTACAACTATTTGAATTATTTCTGCATTTAAAAAACTAGTATTTGGTAATAGCATATACCAGAGTTTAAATGATCAGAACTGAGAATGACTACTTCATAGTCTAATCAGAGTGTGATTCTTTGTGAGTATCCACAGTATGTGAAACAATGTTTGAGTACTCTGGGGATATACTAAAAGAAAACTTACTCTGGGAAAATTCACATGTATACAATGAAAATTACAGTTATGATCCTTTTAACACTATCTGAAATCTTACTCCAGACTACCACATAGAATTCTAAAATTTCAGAGTTGAAGGTCACCTAGAGAATAGAGGAAGTGTTTTGAGGAAGAAGTTCAGGGATGATAGTTTTCAGCAAAGAAAATCAGCGAGTCAAGCTGTGCAACAATAGAATTTGATTTAAATGTATATGTTTAAGCCAAAGCTTGATGATCACGAGTAAAAGATCAGATCATAAATTCTAGGTCCTACAGCTGGAAAGGATTTTAAGAGATCTTGTGGTCTAGCCCCTGTGGTCAGATATTTAGCTGGGAAACCTGTCATTGTTCCTATTAAAAGAACTGGAATTTCATCTCAGGATTTTCTTATGTAGTACAAATGTTGGGAGTCTTGCTCTGAGGATGTAGGTTGACTTTTTTTTTTAGGGAGTATAAGTTAGAAAGGCTAAGTGGTTTGCTCAGATTACTACACAAAATTTAGTGAGCTCATGGTGGCTGTATGATTTTTTGATCTCATGATGTTTCTGAGGTCTCAGGAATGCTTAGGATTATGATCCCTGGAATCTGTTTGGGAATGTTCATGAGAATTTGGGGAGGATTTTTCCTTAGAGTGCAGGCAGACACCAAAAATTGCAAGATTGGAAGTATTACCAAACAGGGACATAAGGTCTGTGTACTTATAACACCTTCTTTACTCACTGACATTCCCTGAATAAGATGGCCTTTCCCAAACTGAAAGGGAAATCCTTTGAATAAACTGTTATTTCTATGTTGGCCTCAGAACTGATCTTCCTGCCTGGTTTGAGATTTGGGATCAGGATAAGATTGAGATGCACAAATGTAGGGTCCTTTTAAATGTGAGATAAGAGCTGAGTTGGGGGCTAGTTTTTGTGCTGGATCATGGAATACCTACACTCTTCTGCATTCTGGGTATTTTTGGCAGTGTTAGGCTAAGTGGCCAAGTAGAAAAAGGGGTAACTCCTTTGTAAAGAGACACCTTACCTTTTTAAAATTTGGAGATTTTTTTTTTAAATTCTAGAATTAGTTGTTATGGTTAGAAGGGCAGGTGTGAAACGAATGTGAGGAAAAGGTGATGGTTATACTAGACTGTGTTTAACCTCTTATTTGCTAACCAGCATTGCAGTGGTTTATTTCAGTAGGGTAATCACTGGACCCAATTTATTGGTAATTCTTCTCCCACATCCCCATCTCTATTTAATGTTACATCATAATTCTTTTAAAGGAAACTAATTATAAAAAACGACTATACTGTGTTTTGTACATAGGCTAAGGGATTATTTTGCTAGCATTAGTACTTGTTTTCCTCACAGAATATGTTGTACTCAGTATTAGCCACATTTTTGGACTCAAGCATTGATAGATTTTGAAAGTGATTGTTTTCAAGGGTTAGAGTACTTTCCCCCCAGATATAGGATAAGGCTGCTGAAAACATGAAGCATATCTGGAAAGGATTCCAACTTTTGGTTGAAAATTTAAATTTTCTTTTCGAACAGAAGAGGAAGGGTCAGGGGCAGAAGTTCACAGAAAACACTCCAAGTGTGGACCTTGCAAATACAAAGCTGAGTGTGATGAAGATGCAGAGAATGTTGGGTGAGTTGACTGAGGGAAAGGGATAAACTTGAAGCTTAATCATCAGCATTATTGTATTGTAGAAAGGTATCATTAACCTGGTCATGTATATTTCATGTATGCCTTTAGTATTTTGTTGTTTAAGTCTGTGGACTTTTAAATTGACATAATGCTATAGCTATTTAAGTCAGTTTAAAGTGTTACATTTTACGATGAGATTCCATTTATAATTTTTTTGACGTTACTTCTGCCCTTTTAAATTGATAATCTTACATGTTTTATACCAGGGCTAATTTTATTCATCAGAAATACTCTTATTCTAAATTATCCTACTGTTACATGTTCAACTGGTATCAAAAACAAAATTTCTAACTTGCATTTTTACACAAAACTTTTCATATATTTCAGTGTATTAAGAATCCAAAATTTTCAAAATTTTAGATAGGTATATATTATGTAATAATTAAAAATTATTTTGTAAAATCCCAGTTGCCCAGACTGTGATATTTATTTTCTCACTCATATGTTCAGCCATCACTCAGGTGGGTTTCATAGCTGGACAGCATTGTCTATCCAGTGTTCCATTTCCTCTCTGTAAGAAAAGGTTTTGTTTAGTGGAGTAGTAACAGTATAGATGTCATCAACACAGGCATGTTTGTTTCTTCCTTTTATCAGATTCCTGTTTGTTTTTTCCCAGCCTCAACCTTCTTCCATTTCCCTGTGGTGCTTGCTAAAAGCTTTAATGCTGACTTCAGGACCTTACAGCACAAATGAATCTTCACTTCCTAAATTTCCCCTTGGTGCATATTTAAAAAAATTTATTTTATAGAGATTTGTGCTTACATCCATACATATTTTCACTGTGCATTTTCTGATCCTATGTTTTATTCAGCCCTTAAGTGAACATTTGATCATTTCACTGAACAGTAGTTTAATTTGCATTGATGCCCAAAGTTTTACAAATCAAGATCAGACCGTTTTCAGTATTATGGTTCAAAATCATCCATTTGGATGGCACTTGGTAAAATTAATGTCTGATTGTTTCCTTGGTACATATTTCAAAGTAGGTGAGGATTGGCAAAGGACAAGATCAGTAAAAAGTGAATTCAGCAAAACCCAAATTTGCTCTAATTATGTATGTTGGTCACTTGAATTGACCTGTATCCATCCATTTTGATCAAAGAGGCTTGATTTGGAACAACATGTTTTCCAAGATACTGGTCTGTAGATCAAGAGAGGAATGATGAACAATATGGACTTGCAGAGAGAGAAGATAATACATGCCATGCTGTCTTCCTGTGTAGCATGATGGAACACCATTGTGTGTGTGTGTAGAGATTTATTTCTTTTAAGTGTTCTTTCCAAAATAGCTGCCAGTGACTTACAGGCTTGGTCTATTAATCTGTATTTTTTTTCCTTTGACCTTTCCTCTATTTTGTACATTTCTGTATCATTTTTCATATCTTAATTGGGAGAGAGGTCTTTTGCTTAGAAGTAGACCAGAGTCCATCTAGTCTTCAGAGGCAGCCTCAAATATGACATCTCTATGTAAAATGTACATCTTTCTTTGAATACCTCCACATGACATAATATGTAGCCTTGCCCAGTCAGAGCAACTCTGTTGTATGTACTGAATTCATTTTGTGCATGTTTCTATTTATTTGAGAGCTTGCAGGCATTTTTCTTGCAGATGCAGGCTCTAAGCATAAGGCAGTGGGCACAGACCAGGGAAGGTCTTACAATATGAGGAGCATGCAGGCCGAGAAAGCCAGCTAGGAGCATGTAGACTGGGATAGGCAGCCAAGTTTAGGCCAGGAAATTTGATGCAATAATAGGAAAACATTAAGGAAGCCACGTGTACCCTTACTTAGAAATGTATGATTAAGCTAAAATGGTTGATACTGTTATGGAGGAAGACAAAAGGAAATTTTAGGAACATCTGATCTTGTAGTTAACAGCACTTGTTACTGATTGCAGTTGAGTTTAATATTTAAACATATCTCAGTGGTTACCACAGTTAAAAAAAAATGTTTTTAAGTGGGCTGTGGTGCCAGGAAAGCTGTATGGAGGTTATTTAATTCCCTCAAGGTACCACTTCTCAAGGTTACCGTCAGGTGAATAATAACACATTTGTCTAAGCTAGACCTTTCCAGTATGGAAAACTGAGAGGTGCCCAAATGTGGCATTAGTCATTGTGTTGATTTTTTTTAAACAAATATTATTTATTAAGAAGATGTTATGTACTTTTTAAATTAAAAGATACAGTTTTAGTCATTAAATACAGAAGGTCTTAGTTACAAACCAATTACTCATGTCATGCTTAATTGTAAACTATCCCAGAATCGGAGAATGTTGAGGTTGAGTAGGGTCTTAGCATTTATCTTGTAATATAATCCTCTTACTTTACAAATGAGAAAATGAAAGACTGAAGTTAGAAGGTTATATGGGGCGGATTCTGCTAAGTCCTAGTGCAGTGTTTTCCTTACATCTCACTCCCTATATTAGTCTATTTTATTCCTAGACGGAATGCTCTTATCTTTTTCCTATTTCAAGGACTGCTGCTTGGTGACTTTTTAAAGAACATTGCCCTGTCTTCAGCTTGGTCCCGGTTGTGACTTCTTTATGCCTTCATTGTTTCCTGGTCACTCTGGGTACTAGCTGCTCTTAAATTCTTTGTTTACTCCTTTGCTGCCATCTAAGACACCACATACCTGTTTATCGGTTTTCTTATCAGTGACTTCTGGACTTTTTTTTAAAACTACTTGTAAGATACTCATTTTCACTGTGTCCTAGCCCTTAAGTATGTATATACATGGTAATAACACATACTAACTAAAACAAATTTACAAAACAATGCAATTAAATCAATTAAATGTAACGTACTCTTAACACTTTCTATCCTATTTTAAAAAATGCTGGTGGTGGCCCACTAAATTGGCTTTACAATCTACTAGTGATTATGACCTACAGTTTGAAAATATTGCTCTATAACTGTAATAGATATTATATTTTATGTACACTTTTGGGTTATGGGTATTCATTTAAAAATACTTTATCTTATCTCTTTTTTTATTGTAATTTTAATTTATTTTTTAAATTTGGTATCATTAATATACACTTAACATAAGCAACATTGTAGTTACTAGATTACCCCATTATCAAGTCCCCACCACATATGCCATTATAGTCACTGTCCATCAGCATAGTAAGATGCTATAGAATCACTACTTGTTTTCTCTGTGCTATAGTGCCTTCCCCTTGCCCCCCAACCCCCACACACATTGTGTGTGCCAATCATAATGCCCCTTTTTCCCCTAACCCTCCCTTCCTACCCATCCTCCCCAGTCCCTTTCCCTTTGGTAACTGTTAGTCCATTCTTGGGTTCTGTGAGTCTGCTGCTATTTTGTTCCTTCAGTTTTTCTTTGTTCTTATACTCCGCAGATGAGTGAAATCATTTGATACTTGTCTTTCTCCACCTGACTTATTTCACTGAGCATAATACCCTCTAGCTCCATCCATGTTGTTGCAAATGGTAGGACTTGTATTCTTCTTATGGCTGAATGATATTCCATTGTGTATACGTACCACATCTTCTTTATCCATTCATCTACTGATGGACACTTAGGTTGCTTCCATTTCTTGGCTATTGTGTATCGTGCTGTGATAAACATAGAGGTGCATATGTCTTTTTCAAACTGGGCTGCTGCATTCTTAGGGTAAATTCCTAGGAGTGGAATTCCTGGGTCAAATGGTATTTCTATTTTGAGCATTTTGAGGAACCTCCATACTGCTTTCCACAATGGTTGAACTAATTTACATTCCCACCAGCAGTATAGGAGGATTCCCCTTTCTCCACAACCTCGCTAACATTTGTTGTTGTTAGCCTTTTGAATGTTGGCCATCCTAACTGGTGTGAGGTGATATCTCATTGTGGTTTTAATTTGCATTTCTCTGATGATTAGTGATGTGGAGCATCTTTTCATGTGCCTGTTGGCCATCTGAATTTCTTCTTTGGAGAAGTGTCTGTTTAGCTCCTTTGCCCATTTTTTAATTGGGTTATTTGCTTTTTGTTTGTTGAGGTGCTCTTGTGTATTTTGGATGTTAACCCCTTATCAGATATGTCATTTATGAATATATTCTTTCATACTGTAGGATACCTTTTTGTTCTGCTGATGGTGTCCTTTGCTGTACAGAAGCTTTTTAGTTTGATAAATCCCACTTGTTCATTTTTGCTTTTGTTTCCCTTGCCAGTGGAGATATGTTCATGAAGAAGTTGTTCATGTTTATATTCAAGAGAGTTTTGCCTATGTTTTCTTCTAAGAGTTTTGTGGTTTTGTGACATACATTCATGTCTTTGATCCATTTTGAGTTTACTTTTGTGTATGGAGTTAGCCGGTAATCCAGTTTCATTCTCTTACATGTAGCTATCCAATTTTGCCAACACCAGCTGTTGAAGAGGCTGTCATTTCCCCATTGTATATCCATGGCTCCTTTATCATGTATTAATAGACCATATATGCTTGGGTTAATATCTGGACTCTCTATTCTGTTCCACTGGTCCGTGGGTCTGTTCTTGTGCCAGTACCAAATTGTCTTGATTACTGTGGCTTTGTAGTAGAGTTTGAAGTTAGGAAGTAAGATCCCCTGCTTTATTCTTCTTTCTCAGGATTGCTTTGGCTATTTGGGGTCTTTTGTTGTTCCATGTGAATTTTAGAACTATTTGTTCCAGTTCATTGAAGAATGCTATCAGTATTTTGATAGGGATTACATTGAATCTGTAGATTGCTTTAGGCAGGATGGCCATTTTGACAATAGTAATTCTTCCCAGCCAAGAGCATGGGATGAATTCCCATTTATGAGTGTCCTCTTTAATTTCTCTTAAGAGTGTCTTGTAGTTTTCAGGGTATAGGTCTTTCACTTCCTTGTTTAACTTTATTCCTAGGTATTTTATTCTTTTTGATGCAATTGTGAATGGAATTGTTTTTCTGATTTCTCTTTCTGCTAGTTCATTGTTAGTGTAT